AGTTTTAAATGATTCTTGCCCTCTGGAGAGATATACGCAATTTAAAAGGCCATCCTTACTGAAAAGGGAGAATGGAAAAAGTACCCTCAAAGGCTACCAGAGCCCCAGGTCTATTTTTGCAGTAAAATGCCACCCAGAGGCAGAGAGCCCTCACAGGACTCAGAACTAAGTGGAAGTCCTGCTTCTCCCACGGTAAAAAAATACAGCATTGTGAAAGGGTAGGTACTTTGCTACGTTTCCCATTTAATCTAACACCTTATAAAGGAGACTGCCTTGGAAAAGTTAACCATCTTCCCAAGGTCATACTGGGAATGTAGCCTACACACAAAAGCCTAAATACTCTTCCTACTAAATGAACCAGAAATACAGGTCATGAACCATTCACCTTCAAGCCTACTTCTTAAGATTCAATCATGGCAAAAAACCCAAGATATAAAATCACGATATTTTCTGATGTCTTTAGAGAAGAAAAATAAGCCTAGAGATCTTTCCCACTCGCCCCACCCCCAACCCCATGGGGGAAGGACCACAAATGCACAAATATGGAGGCACGGTGGTGAAGAGTGAATACACTTTGGAGACAGGCAGAGCTGGAATACCTATTCTATCACTCACTCATCTGTTCCATCAGGACCAGATATCCCCTTTCTTTACCAACAAAATGGCAGTAACTCCAGGCAAGCATAGGATTCGATGAGAACCTTCTTAGCGGAGTGCTGGCACCAAGTAAACACTAAAAACAGCTGTAATGGTACATCATCCTCAAACCCCATTCAAGTCTCGATTGTTCTAATTTAAGCAGTTTACTCTGTAGCTCTCCTGCGGTACACGCGTGACCTCTACCCCTGTTGTAGTCCTCTGGGATCTGCAATCCTCAACTCTTTCTCAAGGTTCTCTGCCCTCACTGTGCTGTATCCTTTCAGGTCACAGACCTCTGAACTCATGTTCAACTCAGAACACATCTAACTCCAGGTTCTTTGCCAGGTTCTGACAAAGCCAGAGGCTTTAAGACAAGACCCTGCCTGGGGCGCCTGGGTGGCTCGGTCGGCTAAGTGTCGGCTAAGTGTCGACTTCGGCTCAGGTCATGATCTCACAGCTCGTGGGTTCAAACCCCACATCAGGCTCTGTGCTGACAGCTCGGAGCCTGGAGCCTGCTTTGGATTCTGTGTCTCCCTCTCTCTCTGACCCTCCCCTGCTCACGCTGTCTGTCTCTCTCTCAGAAATAAATTAAAAAAAAAAAAAAAAAAAGACAAGACCCTGCCTTAAGAAAGCCCCAGTCCATTGGAAAGGACAGCCACAAAAGCAAATCTAAAGACAACAGATTAACAGCTCAAGGGAGGCTTCCGAAGGGAGAACTAAAAGAAAGCTGTCAGGGTAGAGGCGTCTGATCGGTCTTAAAGTATGAGTAGGCGGAGAGAAAGAACTGAAAAAGAGCATGGAGCTATTTCCTACATGAGACAGTATGGCGAAGATATCTGACCCACGGTCGAGACTCGATCAGAAGGGCCCTGCAATGCCATGCTGGGTCCTAACTTCAACCTATCAGCCATCAACAAGAGTCATTTTTCAGTGAAGTGACAAAATCAAAGGGACTGCTCCAGTTGCCGCAGGAAACATGGACTGGCAATGGGGTCATCTCAGGGCCAGAAAGCAAGAGCAGGAAGGTTATTCCAAGAGTCCAGGGCTTATGTCCTCCAAGAGCCTTCTCTTAACGTACAGCCAGTCTGCACTCTAAAATGTCCCTTTCTGCCCTTAGAATCTTGCACACATGCCACGTTTAGGATTAAATTATCCAAGTATGCGTTGGCCTCAAGAGAAAAGGAAGCACTCCACATCTATACATTCCCATAGACAGCACAGCACCTGCCGTGTGCGCATCTGAAGGGCTCCAAGAGGGAAAGACAGGGATTTGCTGACGGGCTGGAGGGGGAGACCACTGGAAACCCTGTGTGAGAGCAAAGCCTGCCGGGAAGGCGGGGTGGAGAGGACAGAGCAGGGGTGCCGGCAGCGGCCAAATGGCAAGCACAAGCACAGGGCCCTGCAGGAGGTGGCGAGGCCTCGAGACCAGGGGAGTGAAGATCTAGGTCAGTCAGTAAAGACCCTGAGGAAAGGTCAGAGGCTGAAGGAGCAGATTAAGAAAAGGCCCAAGAAAAGGAAGATTCCAGAGGACAAGGAACGCCCAAGCGGCTAATCAGAAAGGGAGACGGAGAACCACAAAAATGGTCCAGAGAATTTTAGGTCCATCTGAAATTTTCTGTTACATTAAAAACTACCTGCAAGTTTGGTAACTTTTTATTCTTATTTCAGACAAGGATACACAAGGCAAGGACAAAAATTAGTGTGGCACATGCTTCTGAATTCCCAGGACTCCTTGGTGAGCTTCATATCCAGAAGACCAGACCTCACGGTACACAGAAAAAGAGCAACCTATGCTGCAGACAAGCACCAACACAGAGCACAGGACTGAGTATGTTCTGTAAGCTTCCATAAGTGACAGATCTGACTGAAGCTGTCTGCTAACTATCTGCTGTACGCATGACTGAAATAGTGTTCAGTCTGAGGCAGATGACGTCCTCCTCAGAGGATCTTAGCACACCCTGTGTCTATAAGAAATAAATGCACTAGAAGTACCTTCCATCTTTGCTATTTTTCTTCAAATAAAAATGCCTATTTTAGGTATATTTATGGTGTTTGGTACAGGTGTTTAGGAGCTGATAAAGAAAAACTATGGGGGGAACTGTCTTCTCTTATAAAAAGGGGACGGGATGGTGGGACGCCTCCCACGCATGTTTGCTGTTTAGAAACTTAAGTTTGCTTCAATATGCAATTCTTCTATGTCCTCCCCCCCAATACTCTAAAACTTCATGAATTTAGACTCTCCTTCCAATATAGATTCCTAAGAACTTCAATTTGTCTTCAATTACATTTGACAGATCTAGCTAAGCAAACTATATGCAAAACTAAATTCTGATAAGTATGCGCCCTAATTGAGATGTCTCAAAATACGCTTTAAAAGATCACCTCAATAGTTTTCACTTCAATTTACAGACTAATAAATCAGATCACGAGTACAGCTTGCTACAAAGTTGGTCATTAATCTGGCTTACAACATAGTTAACAACTAGAAATCATTCAAGTCATTGTAAACACTCAAACCAGACTGTATACTCCTCAACACATCGAAGCTCTCTACAAACCACGACAGCACAAACTCGATGTATCTTATGTTTCTGTATCCTCTTTCAAGAAGCTGCATTATAACCTCGCTGTATGAACCTTAGGAGTAAGAGTGCACGGAGTCTCCACTATCTTCTGGACTTGTGCTAATTGGGAAGTTCACTAAGAGGAAAGATTATTTTTCTACACAGTCTTATAATTAAACTTTCTCAACCTCACAATTTAAACCTAAGTCAAAATTATAAATAATCTCTTCTTAAAACTACATTGTTACTAAAACTGCAACAGAAGTTCGGGAAAATAATAAACTACAAGTTGAACAGTCACAAGAGAGGCTAAGGGAGAGCTGGCTCTTTTTACAATGTATACAACTGCACTAGTATTTTATAACAGGAGTGGCATTTGTGTGTCTTAAAACTGTCTTCTAAAGTACAGCAGATTACAGAAAAAGGAAACCTTAACAAGAGAGATATGGAATGAATCTTAAATGCACTTGACGATAAAATCAGAATGCTTAGAGAGACAGCCACATCCAGCCCTACTATGCGCGGACAGGACAGTCACCTGACGCTGTTACACACGCTTCCAAGTCATTTGTACCAAACTTAATGGTAAAAGATGTGAATTCTGTAATGAAGACTAGAGGGAACTCTTTTTTGCCTGAGTTTCAGAGGTTCTGATGCATGACTATTCCACTACATGAGACTAAGTACTGCATCCATACATCAGGGACTTTCTGGCAATAAATGTGTTTTTAACTTCTCAAACTATCAGAAAGGAAAAACACTTCTCCAACCCCAGGTTCTCATTAGGGTTTTAGGTAAAGAATCAAGGTCAGCCAGAGAGAACAAGAATATAAGCATTAAAGCTTCAAGAATATAGATGTCCTCTGCATATGTATCATCCCACCCTTTTTAATACCAGGTTACTTGGTTTCAGATGACCTACACTATGGTCCAGAAATGCTCACTTCTAACAGGACCCCTGATCTAATTCACTAATTACTTCTCCCTGCCCAGTCACGTGCACCATCATCCATGTTTTCCTTCCGGTTTCAACTAAGTCTCCTTACTCTGTTGTTCTTTTATTTTCACAGCAGTATTAAATGTCCTGTAAGTACGTCTCCCAGTTCTATCTGGAAGTCTGCATTAGAGAGGAACAAACAACAGACTTGCTGACTACACACCCCAGGTTTCTCCAGTAATACTTAACTCCCTTGGCCAAGAACGCTGCCTTCTGGCAGGTCTGACCTGGTGGGATGGTGATGGACTGCCCTGACAGTCCTGACTATCAAAGCAAGGACCTAAGGGACAATAGACATAAGGAAAGTCGATTATTCGTACATCTGTCTACTGCCATCTGGGTCATCAACTCTCACCCTTTACAGGCACACAGTAACTTAGAGAGCCAAAGGGAGTTCCCATGAGAACAGCCCAACTGACCAGGCTCTCCAGGCAATTGGAAATCTAACAGAATTCTGAAGACACAACTTCCTCTTTGACTCAGAATAATAGGAAAACATGTACAATAGTAAGTATAAAGCAATAAATTCTAATCAATGTTGCAAAAGATTCTGTTATTGTGACACTGATAAGCTCAAACTAACTTTCTAAAAACATTTTTTAGGATGGGCTAGCTAACATTCAAAAATCGCCCAGGTAAGTTCTTAGCTTACATTCTATGTAAACATTTCTGGAGCATGTAGTTACTAATAATAGACAAAACACAAGACAGTAAATCTGGACCTAAACCTAAATGTGAAAAGGGGTCCACAGGCACACTCTTAACCACTTTTCCAAAGAAATATGTTTAAACGGCTTTACCATGCAGAGCTATGGCTTCCCGGAAGGGTTGCAAATCAGTCTCTACAGATGAGCTAGTTTCCGTTGAAGTAGCTCGGTTAGGGGACACTACAGTCAGTCTTGGGGGAGCTCTAGAGTTTCGTGGTGGAGGAACTTTCCCACACAGGAAGCTGATCAAATCTTCTCTACGAATAGTTCTTCTGCGCTTTTTAACCCAAGCCAACACATCCTTATTGCGTCGCTGATAGCCAATCTGAATTCCAATATCAAAACTTCGCTGATGAGTATCCACGCTTTCTGTTAGGAAAAAAAGAACAAGAAACAAGATACATCATGATCATAAGAGCCATGCAGCATTCTCTCCTAAGAGAAAACCATCTCACGAGCTAACCAAAATGAGCATCACAAAGACTGGGCTTCTCGAATTCTATGGCTAATATAGTCAACTGAACGGTATTTTATCCATGTTTCAAGTGTTATACGTGGCATTTAGTCTTCCCAGTCTAATTTCAGAGCTTAACACATCACACAGTCCTAGAGTTTCTGCCTTGTTCTCTAAAACAATAAACAGAAAGCCCAACTACTTACTGTTAGTCAAGTTACCATTTTAAAAATGCTGTTCCTCTAAAAATCTTGCTATATACTTAATCTAATTAAGCTAGCCTGGTTTACTACTACTATGGGTAGATTATTTTTATTTTCTTAATGTTTATTCAACTCTGAGACAGAGACAGTACAAGTGGGGGAGGGGCAGGGAGAGGAGGAGACACAGAATCCGAAGCAGGCTCCCTGTTCTGAGCTGTCAGCACAGAGCCTCACGCGGGGCTCAAACTCACCACTAGACCATGACCTGAGCCAAAGTAGGACACTTACCTGACTGAGCCACCCAGACGCCCTGATGGGTAAATTAAGCTTGTATTACTACTATACTCAGCTTCACTTCAGAAAAAAAGTACTAAGCAGACCTTGAAAGTGGTACTATGATCCTCCTAGTACAAATGAGGAAACAGGTAAATAAGTTACACTGAGTAACTGTACCAAGGTCAAAGAATATATACAAGAGCTGAAATTTTGCTCGAGCCCATGATTCTTAACCACTAACCTCTACGCTCTTTCAGAAAAGAATGAATTCCTGGGGGACCTGGGCGGCTTGGTCAGTTAAGCGTCTGACTCTTGGTTTGGGATCAGGTCACAATCCCACAATCTGTGAGATGGGTCCCCACGATGGGCTCTGCATTGACAAGGCAGAGCCTCCTTGGGATTCTCCTCTCTCTCTCTGCCCCTCCCTTGGTAGTGCTCTCTCTCTCTCTCTCTCTCTCTCTCAAAATTTAAAAAGAATACAAGAAATGAGTGAATTCTCACAACTAATTCTAAGTAGGAGCATCACATCATTCAACAGAGGACTCAGTATTACAAATCGCTCAGGCCACCTGTATTTATCACATCATTTTGGGGATGTGCTACTACTGACAGATTCAGCACCAAGAACTGGGAACACACTGAAGGCAGCAGCAAACATTTTAGAAATCATGAGGAAAAATTAATTCTGATTGACCACTCAACACCAACACCAAACAGCACAGTGGAAACAGAAAAAGATTTCTTTCCCTCGGTATACTTTCATTCTGCTTCCAGTCCCCAATAGTTCCCATCATTCATAACCAGTCCCAAAAGACCTTGCCTTAAAAATCTCAGCCTGGCCTCCCAGTCTCCCTGTAAATAAGTACTACCTACCCCTCCCTGTATATACTGAGCCCAAGTTTTCAATAAAACAATCCCTGCTCTTCCCATGATTTTTACACAGTCGGAAAAAGATCAGGGAAACTTAAGCCACTGCGATTTATTTTTAGTTGAATTGCTTTGCTAGCAAAAATCACGAGTATACTTCTAGTGACATTAAAGAAGACAGTTCCAAGGTGCCTGAGCAAGTTGGTTAGGCGTCTGACTCTTGGTTTCAGCTCAGGTCATGATCTCACAGGTTGGGAGTTCAGTCTCAACATCAGACTCCACACTGATGAAGCAGAGCCTGCTTGGGATTCTCTCTCTCTGCCCCTCCCCTGCTCATGCTCTCCCCTTCTCTCTCAAAATAAACTTTAAAAAAAAAAAAAAAAAAAAGCTGTTTTCCAGAAAGAAACACAGTAATCCTGACATCATGGAGGATCCCAAACTACATGGCTTAAGCAAGATGACAAGAGAACAGCACAAGCACAACTTTGTTCCTTAGAAGATGACCAGTCCTTGTTGTTTAAAAAAAATTTTTTTTTTTTAATGGAAGACATTGTCCATGGGAGCATGCTTTAAAAATAGTAAACCCCGGGGCACATGAGTGGCTCAGTCGGTTGAGTGTCTGACTTTGATTCAGGTCATGATCTCACGGTTCGTGGGTTCAAACTCCAAGTCGGGCTCTGTGCTGATGGCTAGCTCAGAGCCTGGAGCCTGTTTCAGATTCTGTGTCTCCCTCTCTCTCTGACCCTCCCCTGCTCATGCTGTCTCTCTCTCTCTCTCAGAAATAAATAAAAAACATATAATTTTTTAAAATAAAAATAGGAAACCCCATCACAACTTTGAGAAGTAGATTATTCTTATTTTAAAGATAGACAAAGCAGCTTGGGAAAGAAGTAATTTCTCTAGTGCCTCAGTACTAAAGTGGCCAAGTTACAATGTGAAGGAGCCCGGCTTCTGATTTCTCCTTTCATCAGAAACAAATCAAGCATGAAATCCGTTTTAAAGATAAATAGCATTTAAGAGGATAACACAGCACTTTCCTATCTCCTAAAGGCTTCACTGAAGCCAACCTCAGGAGTAGACAAACTCTTTAAGATGACCTTAGTAAAGCCCTATCTAAAGAATGGATTCTGGGGGCACCTGGGTGGCTCAGTCAGTTAGGCATCAACTTCAGCTCAGGTCATAATCTGACGGTTCGAGTGAGTTCGACCCCCGCGTAGGGCTCTGTGCTGACGGCCAGCTTAGAGTCTGGAGCCTGCTTCAGATTCTGTGCCTCCCTCTCTTTCTGACCCTCCCCTGCTCATGCGGTCTCTCTCTCTCAAAAATAAAGCATTTTAAAAAATTATAAATAATAAATAGAAGGGATTCTGAAAGTACTGGCAGCATTTTAGAAGAAATCATGTCGTGTCTGAGCAAAAACTGAGCTCGAGCCACAGCACCGAATGTAAAGTGTGCATACTTAGAAGCAACCAAGTTCCTACAAACCCGCCCTACCTAAAAGAATGGTTATAGTACAAGCTCAAAACTGGAGAAGGAGGTTTCCAAACAGACTAAGGAAATTTTATTTTTTCAAACCCAAATGGAAGGAGGCCCAGAACTGGAAGTTCTGGGGGGGAAGTAGGAAAAACTGGAAGTAGGAAGGGGGGGAAAGGGAGGAAGTGCAAAAGGAATACTAAAAACAAGTCCGCAGGGGACTGCACAGCACAAAGCAAGATGCAGCAGGTGTGTCAATGTACCCCTGGCAAACCAGACACCAAGAATTCTCCAAAAACTGGATACGAAACTCAAGGACCAGAGGCAGGGAGCCACCTGAGGTGGCCATTTAAAAAACTAACAGTTTAGGGGCACCTGGGTGGCTCAGTTGGTTAAGTCTTACTTCAGCTCAGGTCATGATCTCATGGTTCATGGGTTCGAGCCCCGCATCAGGCTCCGTGCTGACAGCTCAGAGCCTGGAGCCTGCTTCGGATTCTGTGTCTCCCTCTCTCTCTGACCCTCCCCTTCTCATGCTCTCTCTCAGAAATAAATAAAACAGTCTACAGCCATACCACCCTGAAGGCACCCGATCTCTTTTGATCTCGGAAGCTAAGCAGGGTTGGGCCTGGTTAGTACTTGGATGGGAGAAATAAATAAAAAGCTCAAAAAAATTTTTTTAATAGAAAAAATTAAAAACTGACATATTAGCAAAGAAAGCTAAGTTTTGGGTTGTTTTAATTGAGACCACAAGGAAATCCCCAAAATCAGATCTGCAAGGGTCTGATTTTTTTTTTTAAAGTAGGCTCCATACCCAGCATGGAGCTTGAACTCACAACCCTGAGATCAAGAGTCGTATGCTCTACCACTGAGCTGGGCAGGCCTCACAAAGGACAGCCTGATGCTTCAATCACAGATTTGAACAAAATGGAAAATTCAAGTATTCACTGGTTTAGATAAAAGACAATTACAGCAGTTGTGAAGCTGTTTTAAGATTTACACAACTAAAATAAAAGTCCTAATTGACCAATTATTTCACCTCAGAAATTCTGAGTCTGCAACAACAGAACCAAGAACACACTAAATATCAGGCATTTTCTAAAACATTGACTTTTATAAGTTAGAAGGTCCAGGAAAAGCAGAGATGACATTTAAGGTCTTTTGGCACGCCCTCCTGCACTGCCTGGGCTCAACTGGTTTTATACCATTGACAGAATATACTGAAAGCCTAATCCAATCCCCTTACCAACCAGATTAATCCAATCTCACTTATTTCCCTAAATGGAAAATCTCATGTTGACCCTAAGGCTTTGAAATACAGTCTATGTTTAGGACTTCAGTTGCTTGGTTGAAAACAAAACCCTATCATACCTTGCCCTCAACAGGAGAGGTGAATACTTCCTGGAGAATCTCAGGCATGACCAGGCTAGATTTTAATGTAACCACAGGCTGACTTAGACAACAGCAGCCACAAACATGCACAAGGACGGCGTTCTGAAGATTCTCAGCTAGATTGCTGTCAATACATCTGAATCCTGACTAACAGACATCCAAATTCTAGAAATGCGAGCACAGAGACTGTGGGGACAGTCTTATGTGCAAAACTATTTTCGTGAAGCTAAAAAGCCTCTGTGCAGCAGGGCCACAGGCTTGAAGGTTTGGCACACCCCAAGGGCATCAAAATGTCAATCTAACCTTTAAGCACGACACATTTATTTCCTTGTTCAAGACGCAAATGGACAAGTCACAGTAGATGTCCCATGTTTCATAGGTTAAAAAAAAAGTTTTTATATAATCAGCTTAAACTGAATTCCAGATTTTTAGAGGTCTAATCAATCCTTTCTCCCCACTGGCAGGGGACAATAGGCACAAGATCATCTGACTTCTGAGAAGAAGACCAAATGCAGAACTTTCTTACTTGCGACACAGACAAGATTAATCCAATTTCACTATTTATAGCTTTCTGACACTCACAAACCTTACATGAGTTCGCCAGAGTAGACCTCCCAAATTCAGAAACAAGGAACTGGAGCTGAGGCTCAGAGAGCCTTGCGGGGAGTCAGGTTAAAGGACACAACACAGCTCTTCCCCCACCAAACAGA